TTAGCCGAGACGACACTCGAAGTCGGACGGACACGATTTTCTGCCAATCTGTGTTTTTCCCTTTTTGGCCAAATATATTTTTTTACTACAACTGTCTTGTTGACGGCCTCTTTTATTCGTTCCACTGGGGTTTAGCAGGTGTGTTTATAAAGAGACGAAAATTGTTTGGGGACTATCCCCCACGTTCTAGTTGAGATGGTATAACCCGAGAGGCAAAATGAGCTTGCTACTGTTGTTGCGAGTTGCCATTCGTTCTACTAAACCATGAGTCAAACGCCATCATGTCTTCTGTCATTATTACACAAACAAAAATCTCTTTACTGTTACTAGTGTTAGTGCCTCAATATGGCTAAGCTCGTGAAGGCAATACAACGAACTCAAACGCGTCTTCGTTCAATGTTGTCAACTAATATCCGGATTAATTTTATGATTTATTTTCCTTAATTCTCCGGAGAAATTTTCATAAAAATTTGAAAAACCCGGAATTCCGGGAAAATCCGGAGGACTTTCATCTCTGAAATTTAATCATAGTAGCTACTTTTGTGTGGTGAAATTCTAATGTTGGAGGACCGATGGTCCAGTGGTTAGCACGTCGACCTCACAATGCGGAGGTGCAGGGTTCGATTCCGGCTCCGGCTTCCCTGTGTGGAGTTTGCATGTTCTCCCGGTGCCTGCGTGGGTTTTCTCCGGGCATTCCGGTTTCCTCCCATATTCCAAAAACATGCATGGCAAGCTGATTGAACACTCTAAATTGCCCCTAGGTGTGAGTGTGATCGTGGATGGTTTTTCGTCTCTGTGTGCCCTGCGATTGGCTGGCAACCAGTTCAGGGTGTCCCCTGCATACTGCCCAAATACAGCTGGGATAGGCTCCAGCACCCCCAGCGACCCTTGTGTGGATAAATCGGATAGGAAAATGGATGGATGGATGGATAGAAATACTCATGTTTACAGTCGTTGCTTATCACTAAAACTGTCAAAATTTAAAGAAACAATGGTGTCATTTTATCTGACTGACATGTCTGACTGACAGCCAGTCTTATCTGCAACCGCCTATTACGGCCTAACTGAAAATATTGTTAGGTGTGCAGGCCTATCCACAACGAATACATCAATCTCCCACATTTTGCATTGTAAATCTACAAGATTTTTGTGTGTCATTGTGTAATGTGGCATGACGTCCGTTAAATAGCCTGTGCACAAGAGTCAATAAAGTGACACATGGGACAGTCTCACTTAACATAAGCATAAAAAAAAAAACACGTGCTTAATGTCACAAAACTGCAATCGCTCATCACCAAAATTGATGTTGACAACTCGACTTATGCAAATGTGAAAACATCAGAATAATGGCCTCAATAGTGTGTATTTTATGGACGAAACATTTTCCTCTTTTAGCGACATGTACTTCTGTAGTGATTGTCTGTATGGAGAGGAAAACAGAAATATTGAGGCGATCGTTGTCATATTTTCACCGGTTGAAGTGACCGTAAGTTATGATCTTATGGGATCAAATAATACTAAGTGGTCACATGACTTGACTTATCTATTTCCAAATCCTTCCATTCACCCTCTTAATGAGTTTGACTTGTCTCTGTCAGCATCAGCATTTGAAACAAAACAGCGTGTGTCCAATGGTGACCTCCACTGTCAGACAGAAGTGTGAACTGTCCAATGGCCACCATTAGTTCATCTTTACATTCTCCAATGGTCAATCTTTCCTTCTGAAACCTCAATGATGTGGTCTTCAAAATGTCAAGCATATCGGCCAGAAAACATTGAAAACGCTGTGCAGACATGCTGCAATGTACTTGTGTCACTTAAAGCCAGCTGCATTTTAATGGCTGGCAATAGTCTTGATATTTTTAGCAGTTTTTAATGCCTCCATGCAGATCATCTGACTATGAAACTTACCCAGTTTCACAAAAGTGATCCCATTTTCTTCACACAATTTATTCAGTGTAACAGTGTTTTTTGCACCACCCTTCTGTAAATAAAACTGCAGCAGCTTGATCACAGAGCGATTAAATGTCTCACAGCAAGGCACACTGCAATCATCTGACTCTGCACAGCTCTCCAGTGTGTGCGCGGTGCACAAAAAGTGCACCAGGGAGACTCCAACTGCAGCGAGTTGCTTACATTTCGGCACAATGCCGTTGTATACACCAACGTTAACAGCAGCACCATCTGTGCACACAGCAATCAACTAAGCGGCCCACTTATCCAAATCTCTTTCTTCAAAAAGTCTCACTAGTCCGTCATTTATGGCTTGTGCGGTTCGATCAGCACCCAGTTCAATTAGTCCAAGCAAGTCCGAGATGAGTTCTCCATTACTGGACACTGACACGACGTAAACGATCTCCTGCTCAGTTTTTTTCCATCAAATAGCAGCTCCCAAAATTCAGAAGACCGTAGCTTAGCTCTCCAATCCCCGCTGATGGTTTGCGCGATGCTCTGAATTATCGGTGCGCCACCTTCGCGAGAATGACACGCACCCCCGACATCCACTCCAAGCCGCTTCAGTAAGGGAATGTCCTCATAATAGGAAGACATGAGACGTGCATGCTTACCTTTATGAAAGGCGAAAAATATTACACGGAGCTTGTCGTTGTTCGTCATTGAGTCTGTCTCGCCACCCTGCAAAGGGACGATTGGATATTTCTTCTCATCTAGTGTGTTTATCAGCAATAGCTTGTGCTATATTCTGTGTTCTTTGCTCTTTTCATGTTGTCAAATAAAGGATTCTTTGAGCCTTAATAAAATTCACCTTTTATCAGCTAGATCTGGGTGTGAGCAGCAATCGTTGCCCCACATTTCAGCGCACTCATGATTTCCTTCAAGTCATGGCACGTTTTGGAGCCAGGAAAAAAGCCTCTTGTTTGGCTCAGACAGAGAGAGATGAAAGTCCTCCGGATTTTCCCGGAATTCCGGGTTTTTCAAATTTTTATGAAAATCTGTCCGGAGAATTGAGGAAAATTTGCCGAAAACTAATCCGGATATTAGTTGACAACATTGAACGAAGACGCGTTTGAGTTTGTTGTTTTGCTTTCACGAGCGTAGCCGTGTTGAAACACTAACACTAGTAACAGTAAAGAGATTTTCGTCTCTTTATAAACACACTTGGTAAACCCCAGTGGAACGAACAAAAGACACCGTGGACAAGAGAGTTGTCGTAAAAAAAATATATTTGGACAAAAAGGGAAACACACAGATTGGCAGAAAAACGTGTCCGTACGACTTCGAGTGTCATCTCGGCTGAGTGTCATCTCGGCTACCTTAGCTTTGCTGTTGTCGTGTGTGACGTCGGGTGTTTGACGTTGTTACGTCAGCGCTGATTGGTTGAAATCAAAAGACGCGCTTGCGTAATGTTCGCGCTGACGCACACACAGCAGAGAGCAGCGGACAAGCTAGAGTGGCGTCGCCACAACAGTAATAATACTCTCGTCTCGCATTCTCATGGCCTTGCCATATCTCTTAGATTTCGAAATTTTGGCGAGAACGGGAGCCACAAAGGGTGCATGAGCCCGATCACTTAACTTGATTTGCAGGCCCGAGCCCGAAGCAAACCCGTGATTTCATATTTTATTTAGGAGGAGGAGGGGTGATTGCTGATAACAAAGCCTGTCTTTTGGAACGAAATCTAAGTTAAACAAGACTGGATAAACATTTACATCTATTATATTTCAGTTTCTGAAGGGGTTACATTAACGGACAATTTTCCATCATTGACGGATTTTTTTTAAGAGTGGACGGGGAAAATTTAAGGCCTTCCGTCATTTTGGCGGGTCGAAAATTGGGCCATTCACCACAGCAAGCAATACGTCCTTAAGAATCGAGTGCGGCACTTGAAGATAGAGAAGCAGCGAGACAAAAAAGAACAATGACGGCTGGATCATAAAGATATGAAGGAGTTCTTTGAATTGTCATTGCGAGAGTTTAGTACAGTACGTGTTGTGATGACGCC